TAATATCATAAATAAGTTGATGGTTTATTATTATTACTTTTTTTTAGTCCGATACTGAACTAATTTTGTCACAATGTCAGCTATTGGATGAGGTGTTGCTAACAAAATATCCTGTGGATCCTGGCGAATATGGATTGCATACTTCATGGTATACTGAGGATAAAATATTCTTGCAAATTAATGGTTCTGTTAAATTCCGAGTTTAATGACTCTATTGTTTGGCTGCTGGTTATGGGTAATAAATAAATATATTTTTGTGTTGCATTTCAATAAGCAGCTCGGTTGATTTGAAATAGAAAGGTTAAAGTTACTTTAATGTTCTTGCTATCTTAAATATCTCGGATATCTTAAAAATTTCGATGCTCTGCTGAGCGTTTTCATCTATACAGCTTTAAATAGAAGCCTTAATGTTGTTGTAGTTCTATAGGTTTGTATCGGAATTATAGATTGGATTTCCAATTGCGAGAAAAATACTTTTTTAATGGAACAAATTCCTTAAGTACCGCGCCATTTATACAAACTATTTTCAATGCACTTTGGAAACGATGGATCGATTTCAACTACATCGAAGAACTAACTGAACTGAAATAGATTAAAGATAAGTTACCCAAAAGGTAGAAATCAGTGAATGGCTGCCGATGTGAAAGAAAATCAACTACATGCGATGTTTGAAGTTTGACAGAAACAAAGAAAAATTGAGAAAGTGCTTGGTCCAGGTACGCCTAGAAAACTGCTCACCGCTTCACCTTGAACTAATAGTTTACTATCAAGACGAAAATGTTATATATCTGAGGTATGCTTATTCTAGTGTTCAAAGGCTAGAGGCTGTTTTAAGCAGTTTTCATATAAACATTGCTCTTTATTGTTTATCGCCTGATTTTTGATTAATATCGACTTGTTTACCTACATCGTATATTCGCCTAATGTTGCTAATCATACACATGATGCTAATATTTACCTAAAATATTTGATAATCGTCATCATAAATAGCATTTCACACTTACTGCATAACTGTACTAGAGAGTTAATTAAAAAGAACATTTCGCAACTTAACTATTTCAACAAATTTTAGCTAAAAACAATTAACAATGTTCAAAATAGCATATTATTTTTTTGTCAATTAAAATGCTATTGATTTTTGTCAATTTCTGACAGAAAGGCGTTGTTTTGTGCCTAACATAATTTTTCACAGAATAAATATATTGTTAACGGACTGACAAAGTCCAAAGTATGTTCTACGAAGCAATTTCAAAAGGCATTATTCGAATACATATTAAGTATACGCAGTGGCGGCAAACAAAAAATAAGTGACAAGCAGAAAAACATTTCATCATCTTTGGCCAACTCATCGCCATTGAAACAAAGCGTGCTTTTTAGCTATAAATAGCATTTCTGCGGATGTTTAATATACTTGTATGTATGTATTTATTGTGCCATCAAATCGGTGTCAGATAAGTAAGTACCGATTCGTAGCACCGCAATTTTATTAATTATTGTTATTACGCATGAAACAATGCTTAATGAACCGCACAGTTCATAATTGAAACAAAAAAGGTGAATATATGATTAAACTACAAACAAAATTAATGGAAGTTTTAATGACAAAAAGGTAACAACAATTGTCTTGCTTGCCACAAGTGCAGTCCTACATTACGTATACGCAGTGCTTGACGAGGCACACAACGAGAATTTATGCGCGAACCTACCGCAACGACACAAAAATCACGCTAATTGACAAGATAAATGAGGAAAGCTGTGCCAAAAAGAGGAAGAAGAATAGGCAGAAGCTGCAGTCGAAGGCAAATAATAAATGGTGCAGGAACAAGGGAAACAAGGGAAAACAAAAATGTGTTTGAAAAAGCTGCTAAATGAATTCTATTTCAGTTGCATTGCCTTCACATTTCTGTAGGTGCCTAAAAATACAAGTGTTGGTATATATACATATACATACTTGTATATATGTATTTAGTTAATTACAGCGAGCCAAGTGGACTTTGTACAGCATGCTTCAAATTGTGGGCGTTGGCATAGAGGCTGAGCGTACTGAGCGCTAATGTAACGGTCAAAAGTTGGCCAGCAACAACAACAGCTAATAATGAAGGCGTGTGCTGTAAAAATAAACACACATGTACGTAAACATGTGTATTCTCGTATATTTTGCATTATTTGGGCTCTGACCGAATCCTTGGCGCACTGTTTTATGATGACTTTTTTATGCATCTTGTTGATTGCCTTATGCGGCGAAACTGGCAAATTTCATCAGCACTTTTAATTTATGCAATTCCTCTTTTGAACTGGGGGGCGCAGCACACTTGATCACAGCGAGAGGGAGAGAGTGCGAGAGAAGGAGAGAGCGAGCAAGTGAGAGTGGCTTAAGCTCGAATTCAGTCGCTCTCTCTCTCTCTCTCTCTCTCGCTATCTCTACATGCATCATTCTTCTTTTTTGGGCAATCTCGAGCTCAGTTTTGTTGGGTGTTGTGTGAAAAGTTTGCAAACAAGGTTAACGGCAATGTACCGCAGGGCTGGCAACGCTTGTAGGTGGCCAGGAGCAACGCACTCTCTGCAATTGTTGTTGTCGTTGCTTGCTGTTTGCTGTCACCAAAAGAGCGTTCGCGAGTTCGTTTGCAAGGTAACTGCACCTTGGGTCAATGGTATTGCCAGCATTGCGATACATTTTCAATTAGTATCTGCCCGCGCACGGCCTTGCGTGACTCTCTGACTGCGACTCTGCCTGCCACACTGCCGCCAGTCATCGAAGTTCACACGCGTCGTCGTTAGCGGTAAGAATTGCGTTTCTTGACCTGGAAGTTGTTGGCCCTCGAGTGTAATGCACTATGATTATTGCCTGTTTTGTTTATTATTGTTTTGCACGCTCTTTTGTATTGCTTTTTAGGTTTTTGGGCGAATGATCGCTCGTGATTTGTGGCAAGTGCCTAAAAAGGCAAATTTCGAAAAGATGACTTCACTTAATGAAGGCCAAAATGCAATTGGCAATTGGTAATTGCCACTTTGAATTAAATATGCATATCAAATGCGGTTAATCGCGCTAGTCATATGTTAGCATGGATTATTTTATATGCCTTACTCTGAAATTTATTACACTTTACACATTTCGCATGCTGCACTTTTCAAATTTATTGTATTATATCTCTTTGCTTTTTTGTCTTGGCCACACCAGCGGCCAGCGGCAAGAGGCGAACGGAAGTGTTTCATTTCCGCTGCTGTCAACATTTTTAAAATCTATGAGCATAGCATGCAAAGCACACGGCTTGCCGAAGAAAAAATTTCCATTAAAAAGCAATAGGTGCAAATTATGTAAAAAAAAGACAAAAGGCAAAAAGGAATTGTCGCAGGCAACGGAAGTGCCGCTAACAAAATGGTCAGCAAATGCAAATGCTCCTTTCGCACACATACAAACATCGTTTGGGTGTAAGTGTGCTGAGCTTCAATTTCCGTTGCAGCCAAATGCAAAGCGGTCAGTTAGTAAGTGCTTTGAAATAATAGAAGTATTTATCACAACATGAACTGAACTGCCGAAACAAATTCAACTTGATCTTAATTGGGAATATCAGAGCCTTTGGGACGGGCGTCCTTTGGATTTAGAAGGGGAGTGAAAATGTCAACAGCGGACACACCCCATTTGATCTAAGGTATTTGCTAGGCACACAGAACGTAACGACAGATCTATACTACATTAACTTGTGAGTAGAGTTAATTTAGAACAATTAAAATTTTTATTGGAAATCAGCAAAACTTTTTGGCGGAAATGCAATGCTCTACGTTTTTAATAAATTAACGGTTGGCATAGGTGTTGCCCGCTAGGAGGCAAACAGTATTATAGTTTAGTGTGATACCCGCTAGGTGGCGCATTTCGCCTATTGGTATGCTACACTTTTTGTTGGTGCTGCCGGTTGTCAGACACAATTTTACTTTAGCTTTGGCGTTGCCGTACTTAAAAGAGTCAGCTGTTAGCTTTGTATTGTCTCGCATTGCGGTGCATAGAAATAAGAGCGTGTAAATTGACGAAATACGATGAAATTAAATATCCCATTGACATTCTAACATAAAGGTGTTCATAGTGGTCGTGCAGTAATAAATATTCAAATAAATTAATGAATGAAATAACAGTGAAAAGCAGTACGAATAAAGCGGCAATAATTTAACAAAAGTGCTATCGTCAATTCTACAACTTTGCTCCGCCATAGCGCCTTGCTAGGCGTCCGTTTCGGCCTTTTGTTTTGATTCTTATCATGCGTCGCAGCCGCAGCAGATGGCAAAGCGTACAGCAGAATGAAGAATAAAGTAAAAACAAAATGGAAATGTTGGGAGTGTGCGCAATTCTCTCGCCAAAACTCTCGCAAAGCCACCGGTTTAGGATTTTTGACGTTTCTACGCTCATTCTCCAACAATCGCCAACAACAACGACAACAAGAGCTGCAAAAGCAGCAACAGCAGCAGCTCCATGCCGATGGCAGCGACAACGACAACTTCACGCTTTCAGTTGTGAGCAAGACTTCGCACTGTTTGGACGTGTAATGAAAGCTTGCCCGCCGACGCTAACCAGAAAGGCAAAAGTAACACGCGACAAGAACGACATCGCATACAACAACAACAACAGCAACAGTAGTAGCAACAAATTGCCGCTTCATTAATGCAACCAACTGTAAATCGAGTATATTAGTGTGTGTTCGTTATGTGTGTGTGTCCATTATAATCAACATCATCGATCAATCGATGGGTACGTGTTGTGGCCGCGCGTTTTTTATCGCAATTGAAACGCGCTGATCAAATCGCGCGTGTCGTTAAAAATTAATTAAAAATTTCATAATCGTAAAAAAAGCAATAAAAATAAGCATTATAATTACAAATTATTGATAACTAGATTTGCATAAATTACAACAACAACAAAACAGCGCAATCAAGCGCGAATTGGCCAACAAGCAAGTGTCTGTACATACATATATACGAGTATATATATACATGTGTGTGTGTGTGTGTCTGTGTTTGTGTAAATAAGTGATTGTGAATGCCAAACAATTTTCATGTAGCCCAAGATCAGGAACACACGCACTCCCAAGTCTAGACTGGACTCCATCTGGATTTGTTTCGCATACAATGTCACGACGCAAACAGTCGAATCCAAAGCCGTTGAATAAAGGTGAGTGTGGTGTGGTGTTGATTTTTTGCCCGATTGTTACCAATAGTTGGTGACCCATTCAATTCGTACTGCTTGTCCAAAATTCGCATTGTCAGCTGCTGTTGTTGCATTTCTGATATTCGTTTTCTGGCTAAAAACATCTGAACGAACTATGCAATCTTTTGTAAACATGCCTAAACAGTAACCACAAAAGGTGGGCGGGCGGGTCTGCGGTTTGTTGGGCGGCATCAAGGGAGGCAGAAAAAACTATGCCAAGCCAATCCAATCCATCAGTCAGCCAACAACACATTGTCAATTTTGCTTGTCTCTGGTTTCTGCTTTTGCTTTACACACTTAAAAGAGCAGGGTACCAATATTTTTACATATGATTGGTAACTCATAATAGATAGTGGTAGTATTTAGATTTTGAAATTGATAGCCAACTGAATCTAGGAAGCTAGTTTAAGATTAGTATACTTTTATTCACCAAATAATTGTTGTTTTTTTGGAAAGATAACTTTGTCAAAACGGCTTTTAAGAGGTAGTCTGTGTTATGTTTATATTTTAATTATATTTACATTTATATTAATTGTTTATTAATTATTCATTTAATAGTGTCGTTTTTATGCGGGTTATTATTCCCCTTCTAAGTTGGCTTTTTAAGATATGAATGCGTTGCACAACTTTGGTCAATAGATCGATTATATTTTGAATATGTATAGAGATATATATGAGTGTTTGTATTTAATTTGTTTAAAATAGTTCTTATTGCATAGCAAACTTAATTTGATTTGGAAGAAAAATACCTTTCAGATAAGATACCATCGCCTAATGATATTTAAACTTTATTTCACTCTTTAAAATGATTTTCAAGATCTGGCCCCGATGCTTAACTTTAATCAGATCTTAGTAGATATATCAAATTTAAATATATATGTATATTCCAATATTTACGAGCAGTTTTTCCATTAGTTTGTAAATGAAAGCTAGAAAGAATTCTAATAGTCTAATTCACTTTTAAATTAATGAATAAGTTTTAATACATAAAGTTATTTAATAAAATCAGCTAACTACGATATTGTTTAAGATATTGAAACGCAATAACTTTCTATTATCAATGAGATATGATTGTATCTTTACTATTATTTTTATAAATATTTGAGATGTTTTATAAATAAAATTAAATACCTTTAGAAGACATTGTACAATTTTAAAAATACAACAACAAGAAACAGAATAAGTTAATAATAATCTTCGGATAAAAATATTTAAAGTATAAATAAGAATCGCAATAACTTTTAAGATTTCCGTTTACTTCCAAAGCTAACAAATAGGCTACAGTTATAATAATTTAGATTTCAATTTCCAATACAATGATTTACTTTCATCAGCTTGTGAGAACAATAAACAATAACTTATAACTTTATAGGGCATACAAGTAATGCATTCTTGAAGTCAACATTTCATTGTTTTTGCTGTTCTGTTGTTTTATGTTACTTCGAGTTCTTTTTTTGCATTTATTCGTACTTTATTGAAATGAAATTTCTTTGTTAACACATATCGGACATGGTGTATTTACGATTTCGTTTTGAAATCAACCAAAACGCAAACAACAATAACAATAACAACAACCACAACAGCGGCTGTCCAGTTGGGGGACACACCTTATTATTAACTAATTACATTTCGCTGTTTGGCATTTGATATATGGCCTTATTTCTACTCTTACCTCTTACTTTATAGACTTGTATTTTTTTTGCTTTTGCGTTTGTTTTGATTTTGACATGCAAATGCATTTCAAAATCGAGCAAACGTGCTTTTTGTCGAAGTAAAATGGTCAATGGTCTGATCGAAAACTTTTCTGCGTACCTGAAGCGTAGAACGTTTAGAAAATAAATGAAATTATGAGATTTTTCTCAAACAGCTGAACACGAGCATGCGTTGGGAATTCTCCGCAAATATATCCCAACAATATTTTGTGATAACAGTTTTAACAAAACAGAGGATTAATAAAGTATAGCTTATCGAGTAGTTGGTCGCAATTCTTAATCATCGAATCGCACTTTATAACAAGAAAATAACTATAACGTTCAATACAGAGCCATGTTCAACCATATTGCTTTGTTTTCTTTAAATTACTTATCTAAGTGTATAATCAGGTGTTTAAAGACGCCATTATCTTAGGAAAAATGCAATATTCCGCGCAAATTTAACGTCTTTGGTTTGTGCAAACTATCAAAGGAATAATTTTGGTTGAGAAGCTAAAATGATTTAGCAATTTCGATTGCAATTAAAATACAATAAAACTATCTAAAAAAAATATGTAAAAAATTGTATAAATTTTGTTGTAAAGTACATTTTTTGAACCAAAAAAAAAAAAAAAAAAAACAAGGTGACAAAAAAGAAACGATTCTGGTCTGAGAAATCAATTAAGCGTGCAGAACTCCCAAGATAGGGCGATGCAGCACCTATGTCATATAGGCAAAGCAATTCAAATTATAATTACGATAAAACTATCTATTGCACAATAAAAACATATTTGTAATAGCTAAATTTAAATTATTACACAAACATAACACAAACATATAACGTCATTAAACACAAATGAAGACAACATTAGCCGCACTCCCAGGTAATTTTGATTAGCGATTTATGATTAATTTCTTATGAATGTTTACGTTTACTAAATGGTAGTAAATTGAGCTTTTTGTTTTTTTCTTTTTACTACAAATTCACATTAGCATGTAATAATTCAATCTTAATTCACATTACAAGCATTACGAGCTGCCATTATAATTGAAGCAATAAGCATATTTTTCCAATCGCAAATTATATCATTCACCAAGTACAATTAGTAATCATTAATTACTAGTCGAAACTAGAAAAAGACAAGTAAGGAACGATTGTGGCATGAATATAGATTAAATAACTCGTTTGATCCGGACATCCTTACAGTCCGTCTTTGGCGGTTTATTTTCGAAATTCTCTGCTTGGAATATGCATTTTTAATTAGCAATACCATAAAAAGTTTTTCTAAATACTAAAACCAATGAACATATTTGTAGATTTCGTATGCATTTTAATCAAAATTGTGTTGAGGAGAAAACATTAAATTTGTTTCTATATTTACAAAACTATTATATAATTTAATAATTGTCCTCCTTAGGACAGATCTTAAATAAAGAATTAAAAAAATATATATATTTACAAAACATTTATTATTATATGAAGAACATTTTTTATCGTGCGATCTCTTCTTCTTTTTCGATCTGTACGCCTTGACATTAAATTTTTTCAAATACCTATACATACAAAAAATTAATAAAAATTGTGTTGATAAGAAAACATAAAATTAGTTTTTATATTTAAAAAATTACCATATAATTTAATAATTGTCCTCCTTAGGACAGAACTTAAATAAAGAATTAAAAAAAAATATATTTACAAAACATTTATTATTATATGAAGAACATTTTTTATCGTGTGATTTCTTCTTTTTCGATCTGTGCGCCTTGACATTAAATTTTTTCAAATACCTATACATACAAAAAATTAATAAAAATTGTGTTGAGAAGAAAACATAACATTAGTTTTTATATTTAAAAAATGACCATATAATTTAATAATTGTCCTCCTTAGGACAGATCTTAAATAAAGAATTAAAAAAAAATATATTTACAAATCATTTATTATTATATGAAGAAAATTTTTTATCGTGCGATCTCTTCTTCTTTTTCGATCTATGCGCCTTGACATTAAATTTTTTCAAATACCTATACATACAAAAAGTTTATAACATTTTAACACTAAACGGATAAAATTATTACAATTTTTAAGCACTTATACATACGTACGTGTAAAAATGTGTATGTATGTGTGTTTTTATGTTCAATGAAGCTTCGACGTCATATGTACGTATGTGTGTAAGTATTTCAACACATACATACATACATTAATATAAATATCTGAACATAAATGTATGTGTATATATGTTATAAGCTCCTGCTTATCACTTTAAGCTTGGCATGCATTTCTAGCGAGCAGCACGTTTTGAGCTGCACTCTTGTTTTTGCCGCAAATAACTGTGTAGTGTAAAAAATATAATGCAATAGATAACAACAGCAGTGGGACAATAGCAGCAACAACAGCAACAGCAGTACGATATGCCGATAAATTAGTGCACTTATCTATGCAGTTGTTGTTGCCACCATTGTTGTTGCTGTTGTCGCTATTCTTGCTGTTCTTCTTCTACTTCTAGTGCTCACTTGCACCTGCGTCCATTACTTTCTAGCTTTCACACTCCAACGAACGACTGCCAGCTACTATCATGGCCATCATTTTGCCAACTGGTAGGGATGAGCAAAGTCGTGATATCTGTGTCACTGTGATAACAGTAACAACTGCGACTTTGATATGCCAGTGTGAGGATTTAAAGTTGCAAATGAAACAAGCATGAGCTTCAGAAAATATAAACGCATTGCTTCAAACCACATTTACAATAAAAGCCAGTCAAAGTCTTTTCTTTTTGATTATCAATGTCTGAAGAAACTATATCTGTCAAGCTATCAAAGTATTTAAAAAGATTAAACATAAGAAAACGTACTGCTTTATTTTGAAGTATTTATATATTACACATTAAAATATGAGAAACAAGTTGTATGCCTATACTAAATTCACGAATTTCTACACACTAGACTCTATTGGTTTTTTTCTCTATATATTTGGCAGTTTTGTAGTTTTGATAGTTTCTCGACTATAAATGAATTAAATTGTTTTATATTTTATCATTATGTAAAAGATCTTTTAATGTACACGTAGTATGTATATATAGCCTTCATTAGATGAACTGTGCTAAAATGCTTAAATTTAATGGTGGCGCCAAAACTTCTGGTATTAAAATAATTGCCGATTGCAAAGGCATTCTTTAAAAAATTGTTATTCAAAAAATACAGTGTAGGGCTGTCAATTCATAGCTACATATAAATAAAAATTAAAACACACTCTGCACTATAATAATCGCA